ATTATTTTACTTAATATAAATTATGTAAGTGATATAAGAGAATAGTATAGGGTGCTTTTGTTGGTATAACACCTCTGTTAGGAAGGTCTGTCACTATAATTGTACTGATAAACTTCACCTAGTACTTCACCAGTATTGCTGTTGGATCAGTTCTGCAATAAACGTTGGGATAAAAAGTATTTTATCTCTAACTGTAACATTTTGATTCTATAACATCCGAAATGTGATATTCAACATATTACTTCTTTAAAATAGGAGTGTGACTTGGAGTAACCTAAAGTACAGATATGGATATGTGCAGTAACTGAAATAAAAATAAGTTTTTTCCAGTAACTAGGTTATTTAGTGCATCTGAGAATATAACAGCAGTACATTTCTGCTCCCTCTTTTTTATCCACTGTCTGAACTGACTGGCAGGAGATGGTTATGTTAATAGTAGTGAATCTGAAGAGTGTAGTGATGAGTGCTTAGCTCCTGCTACTGTAAGAAAACTCAAAGCTTTTAAAGTTGCACAGTTTCCTACACTTTATTCCGATTAAAAATTGGGGGTAGTGGTAGAATTACTGTGTATATATGTGGTTTCTATATTCCTTTAAGTTACTCACCTAGCTAGACAGCTAACTGAGTATATCTTTTACATACTGATATGGGTTGGGTTTTTTTCTGCTGCTTTTAAAAAGGCTTTTATAATTTGGCAGTTAATTTCATATAAACTCAGAAATGTCAGTTATACAAACAGTAGTGTAGGTTCATAAGAAGGATTCTTTATGTTCCTCAAATGTTTGAGAATTACAAGAGCTACCAGCTCACAATCTAACTATGAGGAGCAGGGGTGCTATAGGGAGCTGCAGCAACTGATTGAGATCTGTGGTGGAATTAAAGCAGATGAGAGAGAGAAAACAGCCTCTGTAAAACCCTGTGTTTCCTTTCAAACACTCCTGGAACCACACGCTAAACTCGAAATACGACTGGATATCAGTGCAGAAATACAAGGGGCAGAATATAGTCATGGTGTAAAATAAAATAGGAAAGGTCGTGATTTTTTATTGTTGAAAGTAGGAAGCATGTATGGTCTTGTTGGGCCAGCCCTGTATGAATATAGCACAGAAATACAGCCTGTGGTTTGCAGTAAATCCTTCTGAGGAACTTTCTGTAGGTTTTTATGTCACAGTATTTGGAAGCTTTTCAATATGTGTTGACCGTATGTGTCACTGCATGTTCCTCTTCTCCATCTGCAGAAGCTTCTTTTTTTTTTCTGTTCATTTGAGGGCCTTAACATTCTGAAGGCAAAGCTACAGTAGAAAAGCTCCCTGCATGGTGGCAAAGGTATGAGTGGAACTGAAGGTATCTGTTCAGTAGCTCTCTGAGGAATGGCTTCAGTAATGCTGTGGAAGTTTTCCTTTCAGTTATGAGGAGCACTCACATGATGGCTCTACCTTAGAGATCTCTAAATAGACAATTATACTTAGTACCAAGTCCCACTGCAATCTCTGAGTCAGTATCGCTGAATAGTTAATCTGTTAAAAAAAGTGATGTTTTTGTAAATAATGTTTACTGCCTGAAATAAAAACTTAAAGCATGCATAATGTTACAGTGGAAGGTGAAAGGAAAGGAGTAAAAAATCATTTGCTCTTAAGTACATAAGTTTGGGGAATAGAGTGGCAGAAATACAAATAGATTAATCTTCCACTCTAAAGGATCTCTACCTATAGGAATTAATAAAGTGCTGTAAAAGACTGTATGATGAGGCTCTCAACTTCAGATGTTAAACAGTCAAAAAAGTCTTGTAACCTTTGAGGTCACTTTTGTTTGTGGTCTGTTAAATACAGAAAGCAGCACTGGGAATTAGGATTTTTTTGCCTTTCACCTATGACATAGAGAGAAGGGATGCACCTGGAGAATGTCTGCTTGCAAAATAGCTTTCAGATGAAACTTCAAGAAATCAGATTAGGACATCTTAAACATTAAATTAGTGTAACTGGGGCTTCTGCAAATGAGGCTTCTTATGCAAATCTAATTTTGGATACCTCAGTCACTTCCTCAAGCAGGAGCAGAGACTTCATGTCATGTCTTGTTCATGTAGTACACCATTTTCATGTCAACATCTGAATACGTTACTGACGTTATGGCAAAAGAATGGCCAGTCTGTATTCATAGATTCTGCATGTTGGGTGGATGACCTCCTGTGTGGATCGGAGGTGACATGCAGAGACTGAGGGAGGTTTTAAGTCAAGCAGAAAGGCAGCTGTTCTTGCCCATCCATGGGGAGCACTGCTTTGCAGGTACTGGATAAAGCTGCGGAAGCTTAATAGTAGCTATAAAGGATGAACATTTATCAGAAAAACAAATAAGAGTAGAACTAGAAAATAAATAGGTAAAAAGTAGAAATATCCTAGTGGAGATTAGGGTGTTTGTATTTAGTTATTTGTAGTTGCAGCACAACGTTTGCTCTGTGGAAGGTGAGAAGAACTGTAAAGAAGACTATGCCCTGTCCTCTTGTGCTGTGCAGGAAAGATGGGTGTGAGTGCCCCCCTGAGATGTGCTAAGTCTTCAGCTTGAGAGACCTTTTCTCCCTTGAGCAGCTGTATATACATAATGCACATACAATATCTGAGGAAAGAATTAGGCTATGGTATCTGTTTAGTAATACTGAGTAATTGAAGGTGTTAGAAGGTCTTAAATGTCCTTTCCAACAGGCACTTGATTAAGTCATGTAAGGCATACGAGTTAGATCTGTGGTGCTTATGTTTTGCAAGTTTACTTGGTAACTAAGAAAGTGGTGTATTATACTTTTTAGTATAAAGGTCTTCTGTAGAAATAAACCTCTGTTCCAGCTGGACAACTGGATCCTTGTTCAAATCCTGCTGGAGTTTTCTGGCTGTTTATATGGGTGTTACCCAGTGCTCACAGCTTCTGAATATTTCTAACTGTAACTTTCCAGTGCCAGTCTGAGGAGCAGTTGCTTTGTGGTGCCTCTTGTGAGTTGGAAGACACCACAGGCTGAGATAGCACCTACCCAAACCCATGCACCCGAAGTGAGTGAGGATTGTTGAGGTCCAGCTGAAATTACGTGTTGGGAGAGTGGGAGTTTGTGGTGGGTGAGAGGAGGGTTTGTAGACACACCTTCACTGTGCTGGCCAGTACAGAGCTCTCAGCTGTTAACAGCCTTACCTGATTAAATCTGGCAGCATGTCCTACTTTGCAGTTACTGCACTGGCTATTGTAATATATTAAATTTTCATAAATCTTGGTAATTTGACATGCCTGTATTGATCTATCATGTGCTCTACTAAGTGTAACTTTTTGTTAGCTAAAAATAGTTGGTTGATTTGTAGTTTGTCAACTCTTTGATGTGTTTCTAGGTGTGTTTCTACCTGTAGTATACTAAATTGTATATACAGTCACATTGTTAAGGCTACAGACTCAATAGGAAGTACAGATTCAGAACTAGAATAGTAATGTCCCTGGTTACATATGCTTGTAATAATTTCTGGGTAATTGGTGAAGGTTTTGGAGAACCTCTGTTTCAGTTGGTGTGGGAAATAGACTTGGTCTGCAGGTGATAACTATGGTATGTCATCTAAAGGTTCTTTTAATATTGTTTTTAATGCTTAGTGCCTTGTCCCCTCTCTGCTTCTAGTTTGTGTATTTAAAATGCAAAAACAAAGCCACAACAAACCCCAACAGCTCAATCGCAGTCATTAAATTAATTTCGTACAAACAGTAGCTGTTTATGCTGCTGCAGAAGTTAGAGAATGAGAAGATGTTAGTCTGTGATGGAGTTACATAAAGTTTTCTCTGTCCCAAACTACCCTTTTTAACCTCTTCTATACATGCCCTTGACCAGTCAGTACCAGTTCCCCTTTGGGTTCATCCCATAAAGGTTACTCCTCACCAGCTCCAGATGTCCAAGTTTGTCTGCCTAGTCCTTTCCCCATCAGTTTGCTCACACGGTTTCCTAATCTCTTACCAATTTTTCCTAGCTCCCGCTTTTTCACTTCTGGTTCTGACCTTTATAGGAACATAAATCCAGCATTATTATCTTTTTTTAAAAAAATATATTTCTGCTTCCTTTCAGCTGGACTCTCTTCTGTATTCCTATGGAATTTCTATTTCATGTTGCCTGTGGTTTTTGGGGGTTTTTTCTGTTTGTTTTTTTTCCCCTCCACTTTTCACAAGTTTAACATAACACCAAGTTTGTGTGCATTATTACAGGGTCTAAACCCATGCATATCTGATGGAGGGGTTAATGTTGTCCAAGGTCAAGCCTTTACCTTCCCTAAAGAATGGAGGCCCAAACTGCTTTAAATAAAAAGTTCATGTACCTGGGCAGATCTAAAGACTATGCACGTGCATCTGAACTCTGACAAATGCAAAGTCGATTTAATTTAATATGGACTGTATAGCATATCCTTGCGACAGACGTGCCACACTAAACCATTCCAGCCAAGTGGATCCTGTTTCTATAGATAAGTGTTGGACTTGTGATGCTGTTTAAGTAGCCTGAAGAGAATGGAACTGATTGTTTGACTTGCCTGCTGTCTGTTTAGAAAATACAAAATTACTGTGTAAAAAGTGGACTGGACAGAGATGAGATAGGAGAAGTATTAATTCAAGGAGGTTGAGTTAGTCAAGCCTCACACTCCTTAAGTTTCAAACCTGTTTCTTCTGTACCTAACTAGGATTCAGATCTGCATTCCAACAGTTTGCTGTTAGAAAAACAAGATTTTAAAAAGATAACTTCAGTACAGAAGTCCTTCCTCATCAAGGGAGAACAATGCATTTTGTCTTTGTTTCATTTAATTTGAAAGGAAAGATGAGTCTGAAGTGCCAAGTGCAAAGCTATGACTGTCTGTCCAGATTTGAAAGTGTGAATTTGAGTTTTGCTTTAGGGTTGGCCTTCTGCAGTGGTGTTCAGTCGATTTGGCGTGTGTTTTACTTTTTACTTTTTTTTTAAGATTACTTAAATAAAACAACACAATGTTTTTACTTACAGCACTTGAAGAATCGGAAAGTGACATTTATGTGCGATTCATGAGGTCACACAAGTGTTATGACATTGTTCCAACAAGCTCTAAGCTTGTTGTTTTCGACACTACGCTACAAGTGAGTATTCTCCTTTCAGTCTGCCTTTGCTTGCAGTTCATTTTTTAAAAAATGGTTGTTTCCTGAGTGTTAAATGCAGTTTGATCTCTTCAAGAGGAATTGTCCCATAATGCTGTGTTTTGACTGTATAAAACCATATTATTTCAACTATATCTTTCATGTTATACTAGAGGAACAACTGGGGGAAGACTTCCTAGCAAAACAGAGGATATAATTTGTTTTACAGTTGGAATCAGTATCTAAAAAACTTTCAGATGAGCCCAAACTTATGTTGGCTTCTTCATGGTTATCAGAATTTACATAAAGACATGTTATGTAAAGATCCTTGTGCAATAGTTAAAGAGTATCCAGGTGTGTTGAGCCTGTTCCCGCTACATTGATAGTACAATTTAGGACTAAAATGGATGGCTTAATTATGCAAATTATTACGTTCTCCAGAAAATTTTTGTTTTCAGTATCTCATTTTGCTTTTAATCAGTAAATCATCTGCTAGACTCTTGGCTCTGTCTGAAGAGTCTGTTTGCCAAAAGAAGGCATTAGCTGTCTGCTATAGAAACAGAGTAATCTGTTCTGCAGTGTGGTAGAAAGCTGGGGCTTTCTTTTGTTTCCTGGGTTTTGCAGTTGGGTTTTTTTTGGCTTGTTTTGTTGTTTTGTTGTTGTTGTTTCAGTGTGTTTTTCCTTTTAAAGATGCTCCAATTCTGGCTTAAGTAATTCTGGTCTGGAATGTACTGCTCAATTAGACTTCAGCTTTCCACTGTCAGAGGCAACCATGTAATAGATACTCAGTGCCAAAATGTTCACAGAACCATCCTGCATACCAGATAATCGTATATAGTGCAAGATTGAGTACTATGACCTAAAAGATGGAAAGCCTCCATTGCCCAGCAGGCAGAGTGATGGGCTGGATCAAGAGCACTGCACAACACTGAATGTAACAGTTGTGTCACGAGTTGCGGCTCACCAATGTTTCCTCCTTTACCCAGAAAGCCAGACTTGTACTGGAAACTTTTCATCCTTAAGCATCTTGGTATCAATGGGGCAGTCACTTTTATTTCCTGAGGCTTCTTCCATGCACCTTACAGGACACTGGATTTTGTAGTGAAAAGGTGTCTGATCTGTGATTAGAGATGGAAAAATATAGCCTCTAGTCTTGGAGGAAGAGCTTTCAAGCACACAGACATCAGTCCTACAGAGTTTAAATTGATGGTTTTCTTTGTACATTCCACTTCTTGACTGTTTTGGTAGTCTTTCAGCTGCATCTGCTCTTCCATTTCACATGGACTCTGATTATGCAAGCACTGTAAGCTCTAATGAAGAGTATGGGTTACATGTAGATTTAATACTAATGAACATTTCACCCTACCCTGTTTTGCCATGTTCCTTTTCAGAGATTACTCTCTCTGTCTCTTGGAAGCTTGCTGCTTTGGGAGGTTGATGGTGTTCACTTTTCCCTGTCTCAGAGGAAAAAAGTCTTGCAGTTTTTCCTTTCTTCTGACCAAAAAAAGAGAATGACTTTCAATTCTGGACTAAAGAGTTCAGACTCCTTTAACCTGAAAGGTCAGATTTGGCATGGTGGTGGTTTCTGACGCTCCCTCAGCTCTTCTCAAAGACTAATAGCTTCCTTTGGATTCCAGAGGGATATTTATTCTCACACTGAGATAATGTGTTGAGAGTTGGTACCTGCAGCAGGTTGGCATAACCCACAGCCTGTTGAGTTCTCAGCTGTCTGTGGTCACCTGAGCTTGAGCTTTGTCACTGTTGCAGTCAGAAAGGTGAATCTTCTTCATTGCATGAACCAGTTAATCTTGTGGACTTTGGGGCAGATCATCCATCCCTTTTGGATTCCCCAGATCTCCTAATGATTTATGTAGATCATGCCAGATACCAGCTTTCGGTGCTGGAGCTGTGTTGAGAGATTGCTATTAACGTAAAGAAGTGAGAGTTTCATCTCCAGTAGATGAGACAGTGTGAGGTGATACTTGGAGAAACAGCGAGAGCGAATGAATCTTGTGAATGTTCACTGTAAAGGAAAACAAGTAAGTTAATGGTAATGGAAAAACTCTTGCCAGTGCTCCACCAAAATCTTTCTTATTTGGGATCCCTGATGATGGTCATGGATTCCAACTGGAGAAGAACAAGGCATGCCTTGGCCTATGATCATGGGGTCCTATGATCATGAGGTCCTATTCTCAGTCTGCTTCTCAGGTAGCTTGAAGTGGTAGCAGCAGAAGGGAGTCTGTAGTTATTCATTCAGACTGTACTAAATGACAAAGGTGAACAGTGTCTTCAGCTTGGATTACTGATGAGGAGCTTTTTTCTCCGAAATGCATATTTTTGGACTTTGTACCATTAAAATTAATCTCAGTTGTACTACTGTCTAGTTTATATGGTCATAATATTACTGTAAAGCAGTGGCCTTCTCCCAGTATTGGCATGGTCTACTAACTGTGCAGGTTTTGCAAAACTAGTACGTTACAGGGTTATTTATGAAAACATTGAACAGGTTGATCTGAATGCTTATCCTGGGCTACACAGCTAGGCAGTCTAAATACTTGTCTTCAGTATTTCTTTGTAGTTCTTTACCTAGCACCTTGTATTAATGTTCCACCTTCAGTATCTTCAAAATATGTTACATTTCTTCAGTTTGATTGGTGTGGCTGGTGCACACACAGCTGTCTGGAATACAGAAATACAGTAGCTTTTCCTGTCTAAAACAGCTGAACAATCACATGGTGAAGGATGTACCTAATAAGGGTAGTCAAACAAAAATTTCTAAAATGTTTCTGTGTTTTTAATTTTTAATATATGAATCACTTATTGTCCAGTACCTCAGGACTTTGTGTCAGTTCTTATTTTGAAAGCATAGTTTGCAGCTTTGTGAAACATTCAGTATCAGTGAATACTTTCAAACTGAGAGGATTTTGCAGATATTTGTCCTTCCTGGATCTGTTTCACCCCTGCCCAAAGAAATGTTTTTCCTAATTTAAAAACAAAAAACAAAAAAAACCCAACCAAACCCAACAACAACCAAAAAACCCACAAAACAAAAAAGCCCAATACCTTGAACACATTCTCCAAAGACTTGAAACCAAGTTCTTAATGCTGCTAAAGCTAAACCAGAATATATAAGGGCTCGCTTTTTGCCTCTCATACTAGTATAAGCCAGTAGCCATGAATGGAAGAAGAATTAAAAATGGAGCTGAGTTGTGTTCTCATGGCATCCTTGGAAAGATTCTGCTGTTGGGTTTTTGTTTGACTGCAGTATCCCATCTCCCTCTACTGGTCAGCATCACAGCACACATCACATGTTTCTACCCTGGAAAATTATTCATGAGATACTGTGGAAAGTATTCTAAAACTGTTGTTAGCTGTGGGAAAACTGGAGATGTTAACTTCTGCAATGTGGCACAGGTCATACCACTGAACTAACATTTCTTCATAAAAGTAAATGTTTAGTCTCAGTGTCATTGAGGGATTTAGTGTAAAGATTTATATGGAACCTTGTTTAAAACCTGGATAAGAAAGTGAAAGGTAAGGTGCCATTACACTGGAAACAGAGAGAAGGCCTTGAATAGCAGCAATAGTAGCTAA